GAGCTACTCTATACCACTATTACTATTGTCCTTGAATGTGACAGATTGTAATATATCTCAATAAAAAATATTCAGAAAAAATAAATAAAACATCATACATAAGAAACAATTGGTTAAATCTGTCCTATTCACACAGTATAAACGATCTTATTTTGATATCCTAGCTAATGAACTGACAGATTTAAAACATTACATTATTTTCAACTGATGAAAGCAAAAGTGCTAGTTCAAGTTCATGGGGCATTTGACAAGTATATGAGAATATATCTCAATAGTCTTAGGTGTTATTAAGTTTCACACATGACACTCTAGCTAATTGCTAATTTTGTAAAGGATACCTTTAACATAAAATCGTAATTAGCTCTCTCCCATTAATATGATGATAATACTATAAGTATTATTATGGTGAAATGTTTATTAATATAAATTATTTTTATTAAACACTAATAGTGATGCTCAATACTTTACACTAACTGTGTCGAAATTACGTGGCAAGTATGGCTATCGCTAAGGTTAGGTTTGGACTTAAATGTGCTAATTTCAAAAATAGTAAAATTTAGGGCTTTGAAATGTAGATTGCACATAGTGAGGCATACTTCCAAAAGTCCCTTAAAAATTCACAACTTAACAGCTCGAGGATTGAAACGTTCGTTTCATATCGTGATTTTTTTCGATACCAGTAGTCGATTTTTACCTCAGCTATGAAATTTTGGAAAAACTCCATTTCCAATTTAAAAAAAAAATAAAGTTGTTAGAATATTACCTTTGTTGTTTATGTATTAAAAGAAGAAAAAGAAGAAGAAAAAGGCTTTTTATTAATTAAAATTCCATAATATAAATTACAAGACAATACAAAATAATATTTTTGGATTTAAAACCGAAAATCAGACGTGCTACATGGTCTGTTGATCGTCAGAGGTGTCTGTGTTTTATAAAAAAATTGTATTTCAATCTATTTATATACAACTAATTGATAGGAAAATAAGAACAATTATATTAACGTATGTAAAAGTTATATAAATATTTTAATTAAAATGTGTTTTTTTTCTTTTTTTTTTCTTAGTTTTAATTTTCTTATTTTTTAGGTTATTTTATTTTATTGTCTATTTATATACTTTTGATTATTATTTTGTTATATTTATTTTATTTTTTTGTACATATGGTGTGAATGTCATCCTACCTCACTATAACCAATGTCCAACAGACAGATTGTTATAATACTCAATAAAGAAATTAAAAAAAAAAAAAAATTAAAAAAGAGTGGTACTCAAAATTCTCCAATTTATTAATTGTTAAATTCTTTGGTGAACATTATTCTATAGGAGAAAGTAGACTTGCAATAATTTACTAATTCCATCCAATTGTTTCCATTTATTAAATCTATTAATTGATCCGGAGATAAATTCCTAGATTTTAATCATTTAATTCTAAAGTCAGAGAGTATCGGACAAGCAGCCAGGAAGTGATAGAGATCTTCTGTTTCGTTTTTATTACACATGCTACAAATATTATTTGTTTGCTTGAAGTGTTTATAATTTAAGTTCAAAACCTCAGCTCCAATTTTAATTACCCATCTGATCACCTTCGTCGAGCTTTTGTCATCAATATATATGTATTAAAATTTCAGAAGAGTAATAAAACAATATGTGTGTTATTAAGATCTCAATACGATTACATTGACGAATAGCTTAGAATTTCTTTGTATATGTACCATATGCATTGCTTTGTAATCATAAGGATTTAAAAATGTTAACTTTTATTTTCTGTGGTCAAATTATCGACGCTATTTAAAGCCAGGTTAGAAATTTCTGTTAGTTTTTCATGCTATTGCTCACATCATTAGTTATAATGACACATAAATTACTTTTATATATTATATATATTACTACACATTTGAAAAAACAAATACTTTTCCTTATGCGTTAATTTAATACTGCGTTAAAGTTTAAAGTTAGCAATCACAGTGCCTGAAACTTGAATCATTGATCACTAGAGACGTTAATAAAGACAAATAAATGTATTTATTACATTTGATATAAAAAATGTATTTTTTTTAGCCTTTTTTACTTTTATGTCACATCAGTTTAATCTTGATCTTCATCGTTTGAATTTAAGACAAGTAATTACTGTATTATAAAGTATTTCTTTTGCCACAGGCATAAATAATTGGGTGATTTCGACCCCTTTCCAGCCATGTCTCAGCTAACAGAAAAGAAAAAAAAATTAATTGCCAAAGTCTCTAAAGTAGGGAAACTTTTCAGTACCTGGAATCGTGTCTTTTAGAATGTCAATTAGCGTTAATTAGCCAAGTGGAAAAAAGACCAATAATTAAGGGTAGAACCATAAATAATGAAAAAATGAGATATATTATTAAACCTATAATAATAGAATTTTAATTAACTAAGAAAAAAAATTAATAAAGGAAGCAGTATAAATACAAAAATCTGCCTCAATTATCTTTCTTATCTTAATGATATAATGTATATCAATGACTATACACCAAATTTCACTGGGTACAGGTTTTTTACACTGTACAGGTTTATCATAAATACACATATATAGATTTCATACAAATTTCCTTTTGACATTTCTAAAAAAAAATCAAAAAAATCATAGATTAATAGGACACTACCATCGATTCCAGCATCTTTAGTCCAAAACATATTATTTTTTTCTGAAAACTGTATACGTTTGCCAAAGTAGTAGAATTCGATAAAATTGATTCACAACCATTTTTAACTAAACCATAACTTTCCTACAACTTTGAGTTGTCTAAATCGTTCTAATATTTTCAAAAGATCGACGTTTCTAAGAAAATACATCTCCACATGGGTATGCGAAAGTAGCGAATAAAATTTGAGAAAATTGGTATTGAACCATTTAGTTTATAATCTATGAAAATAAAAAATAAATATATATTATTGTATAAGCATAAAAATGTTTCACATCAACCAATATACCTAATTTATAAAAAACGAAAATTTATATGAAAATGCCATTCCAGCCAAAATGTATGGAAAAAAGGAATACTAGAAATTTCCCTTTGGCTGAATAAAAAAAAAATAATGATCAAACATCACCTTCACTCTTTGTCTCCAACCTACCACTGACCTTAATACGTGCAATATAATTTTATTTTTAAGGAAGTATGTATTATTAATAAATAATAAAGAAAACTAATTTTCATGTTTTGTAGTAAACTATAAATCTTATATCCATTTATTAATTGGTTTATTCAAATAATTCTCACATTTTGTGATTGAAGGAGATATCCTGTTCATCTTTTTTAACTTAAAATCAATTTTTACATTACAAAATCTTGGTTATGTCACTGTTGTCATTTAATTTATTTGCAAGATGCTGAAATATTATATGAAGGATTTTTTTATCAGCACTATCCTGCCTCTTTCCTATCTTAAATACATAGTCTTTTTATTTTTTATTTTTTATTTTTATTATGAAATAACAATTCATTATATCTAAAATAAATTTATTTTATTACCCTATCCTCAATTTTATATTGACAACCTTCAGATTTCTCTAACGGACACGGTACATTATCTTGGTCTCGCCTTTGACAGAAGGATGACATGTAAAAATGAAACGTGACACCTAACAAATGACTCAAACTGCTTTACTAAATCTTAAAAACTAAATCTGAGACAGAAACTGAATACATATACATACTTACTGAAACCCAAATGGACAAACTCACCACAAATATACGATATCCCTAAGAGGACCCACCTACATAAACTTTAAACCTTCCAATCTAAATTATTGCGACTCAGAACCAAAGCACCTTGGTACGTGACTAACAAAACTCTACATACTGATATCCACCTTCGAACAGTTGACCAACATATAACGAATCTTTATCAATGATTTTACACTAATTAAACGGACATAATAACATCCTAACAAGAGACATGGCCGCAGCTGACATACCTGACAGAATATGTGGTGGAGACTAAAAAGATGTTAGATGAGAGATCACCTTCCTCACTTAAACAACCTAAGTAATTGAAGCAAGTTAGAGAAGAGGTACTGCTGAGTATTTTCCTTCCCTATGCCTAACAAGTCATTATTTCCTGTATCGCCACCATATTTACTGATCGTCAACAAAACGTTGACAGACAAAAATACATATATATATATATATATATATATATATATATATATATATATATATATATATATATATATATATATATATATATATATATATATATATATAAAAAGATCTCCTTCTCACTTTCTTCTCACTATAAATTAATCTTCTCACTATAAATTAAAATGAAAGGTTATCACTTGAATTAGGATCAAGATAAGTTTTTATTCGAACTAGGAACATATTTTAAAAATATATAAAAAACAAACACAATATATATATATATATATATATATATATAAATACATTAAGCAAAGTCGAACCGTTTAAGTACTTGTATAGGCGACCTACCGAATCATGTGATTGTCCACCGGAGAAAGTGTATGAAACCTCTCATATCATGAAAGGTTATCTCTTGAATTAGGATCAAGATAAGTTTTTATTCGAACTAGGAAAATATTTTAAAAATATATAAAAAAACAAACACAATATATATATATATATATATATATATATATATATATATATATATATATATATATATATATATATATATATATATATATATATATTTATAAATACATTAGGCAAAGTCGAACCGTTTAAGTACTTGTATAGGCGACCTACCGAATCATGTGATTGTCCACCGGAGAAAGTGTATGAGACCCCTCATATTGCTAGAGGCATTTCACATCCGAGCGAACATATAGCATGTTTTATATAAGTTTATCTTAAAATAAACTTCAGAACTTCACTTTTAATAAGAGTTAATATATAATAAAATAAATAGATATTGATTGAGAAATAATCGCTCTCCATAGTTAGGCTCTAGTATGACAAAATATCAAGATATTGAGCTGAAGATCATTTAATGACTTTCCGATTGCAGAGCTTACCGAAGAAGTGACGACAGAACTGGAGGCGGTGGCCAGCCAAGAGTTCTCCCGAAGAAGGAAGAAGGGCAAGTGGGCCTACTACATGTTCTTCGGCTCGTTCGTGATGGTCTGCCACTGGGCCATCCGCCCGCTCCTCAGCATGGCCATCTACGGCGAGAGCTCCCTCATAGTCCACTCCTGGGTGCCCTTCGCCAGGGACAGCCTCATCGGCTTCTTCGGCAACTACATGTTCCAAGTAGGATTCTCTCAACTATATTAAAACTACAACCTTATCTTAAACACTCTTAGTTCTGTAACCGTAGCATATGATTAAATATTCTAGCTATAAAAAAAAATTGAGCAATCCTGCTGTAAAACTGGTTATGAAATAACGATATCATTAGCTTTGGTATCGTTTGCAGAATTAAAAAAAAATTACAAGGAAAATTATAGGCTTTCTCAAGTTCCTCGAAGATATAATTTACAAAATTGAATTCAGTATTTAATTTGGTTAATCAAAAATATTAATTACGGTTTTCAAAGAAGTAATAATAAAATAAACACGAAAGTACGCAAAAGAGGATAAAGTAGACTTTTTAGACCGAAGCTTGTAATTAAAGAAAAAGTAATTCAATTTGTTTAATTTTTACAAGAGCTCATGTATAAAAATTACTTTATAAAAGGACAAACACTCAACAAGAGGCATGAATTAAATATTAAGTTTTAATGTGTAAAATACAAATATAAAGACATAGATCTCTGAAATACGGGTAAGAAAAGTCAACATTTCTTCAATTAAGTTTTCATCAAGATGAAAAACAATGTATATATATATATATATATGTGTGTGTGTGTGTGTGTGTGTGTATAATGCGGAAATTAATCGTTAATTTTGTACTTTAACATTTTTTAAGGGGTTTCACGTTTAATTTTGAATTTCTTCATTATTTATATTTTCTATTTTGTTAACCACATATTTTTCTATCTAATATTACCAGTTTTTTAAAAATGTATTCGTGCTTGACTAAGGTCTTAGTCATATAATTAGTCTTATTCTAATTAGTGTTATTGTTGTCAATAATTAGTTTTCATTTTGTACATATTTTGGTTATTTTTATCTTATTTTTTATTTTGATATCTAATAAAATTGAGCCTGCTCCCTCTCCATATGTGTCACTACAACAGTAATAAGTAAATAATTACATTAAATAACAAAAAAGTAATTTAGATTATGTGTGCCTAAAGAATGGTACCACTGATTTCTTTTTTTTGAAACGTTATCATTTAATACTATATTCCTTAAAATATTCAAATAAGGTGGAGAGATTATCATTGCATTGAGGAAGAATAATCTTTCCAAGGGAAATTGTGTTCGTCTTCCATTCAAACTCTTTGAACATTATCAGAAAAAAGATTTCTCTGTCTGTAAGTATTTTTGGGATAGTCAGTTTTATTATTTTTTTTCTATTTACCCTGTAAAAGCAATAAAGAGTTTTTATGGGTTCATGTAGAATCCGTAACACGACACCAGCTCCACCTGGTCGAGTAAGTTACTTGACCTAGATTTTAGTCTAAACATAATATCCACTGAAAAAAGTAAGTCATTTTTTAACATTACATGTTCTTATATTTAATATTATACAACTAGACACATGTATAACATATATCCTAACATAAACTTTTAGATAAAAATAATATCTCACACATCTATTTTGTGAATGCTTTTAGTAATTATTTGGTTATGTATGGTCACAACATGAGCAAATTGTGCATAGCTTTTTCGTTATAAAAAAATTAAATTTCAAACTAATATACAAAGCGATAAAGCGTTATATAAGTTTTATAGATAAAGCGAACAATATGTTCAGCTGTATTAGATAATGGATGTTCTGGAAAAGGCCTTTATTTAGTTTCGGTACAGATCTCAAGTTTCGGAAGATCAGCTATCCTGTAAACATTGTTTCAAACAAGGGAAGTTTTGGAACAAATCCTTGTTTCAGCAGTTTGCTTGAGTTTATCACCGTACTATAAATAAACTCCAGTTAAAAAAAAAAGATTCTGACAAAACATATACAAATATTTTTTTCATATAAATAAAATACCAAAGCAAATTAAAAATATCATTAACTGAATTAATTTATGTTTATATTTAATTTTATACTTATAAGGTAGCTTGCTATTCCTAAAAATGATTTTTAGCCAGAATAGATATATCCAATCACGGATTACGTTTTAGAGTAAAGGAAAATAATTTGTTACATTTCCGTCTATCATCAAATTCCCCTTAATCCGAATTTCATCACATGCCACAAGCTGTACGGGTTGATACCTACGTAATCATCTTTATCAAATATCATCTATTACTTTCGATTGCGTATAAAAGAATGATGTTGTATCAGTTTTATCGACAATTGTATCTTGTAAGTATATTTTACATATGCGTAAACTTATGTTTCATAATCGATGATTTTTCATCACCATATTTAAAAAACGGCTCGTTTTATTCGACCCGAAGTTGGAGAAAATACCGAGAACGTGGTGTCCATAAGAATAATTTAAAAAACCTTAATAATATAGTTCTCCTCGATAGCGTGCTGTCTGATTATCAGTATTTCTGACGGGTGTGGGAGAAGAAATATAGTTTAAAAAAATAATAAAATAAATATATGATTTTTTTAATATTATTTTTTAAATACCTCAAGAATTTAGGACTTAAAAAAATTATTCATGATAAATTAATCCGATTTGTTAAAAAGTTACAGGAAGAACAATTAAATAAATTAGCAATAATCTGATAACTATTTATTTAATAGTTTTATTTCTTATTGAGTAATATAATATTATGTCGGAATATGGACATTGGTTATCGAGAGGAAAGAATACATTCCTACCGTATTTACACAAGATATATAAATAAACAAATCAAAACAGAAGTTAAGTAGCAGCGGAATAATAATCAGAAAGTACATGCAATAAATAAAAATAAAATTGATATAGTGACAAGTAAAGTAAAATAACACAGATATTCCTATATATTCTAGTTTTAATATTTTTTTTTTATAAAATCATGTTTTCTATTTATCCAAATATACTTCGTACCACAAAACGTTTAAAAGATCTATAACCACAGATAGGGGTGATAAGAAATAGTAAATATTTAAAAACAACAAATTTTTTTTTGTATTGGTTTTGTACCTCGAAGATGTAAAACACTTCAAACACAATTCGTAATAAATCCAATTAAATTTATTAAATAGGTAAAGAAAAAAAAATTAAAATTAATCTTTTTTTTTTTTTTTTTTTATTGGTGATATTTACAACTGTATTACAAGTAAAAATACATTCAGTAAATGTGAACAAAGGAATAAAATAGCATGAAATCACATCTTGAGAAACTACCCATTGGTAGCACTCTAAAAATGTATTTACAAAAGGAGATCTCGAGGCCATCTTCTTTTCAGACGCCTCTGAGGGTTGTCAGGGATCGAAGAGGAAGCAAGGTTAGAAACGAGAGGGTTTAAAATTAATCTTTTCACCAGATTTTAATAAATGGAAAAAATTAAAGTTAAAAATATTCTTTGTACGGCGCAACCTTTATAGGATCCCTTTTCGCCGATGAGTGGTGCGGGTAGTGTATACCGTAGCCCCGTCCAAAACGGTTCTAACAATACACTTTTAAATCCCGTGCTCTAACACCTACACGGAAGATCAGGATAAAATAAAAGCATACTCCGCCGCGAATATCGATTAAAAGCTTTAAACTTTGACGTAGAAGCTAATTTCGTCCAGGAATTAATAACAAGGGGATCAAAAGAGAATCGTACATTCTTCATAACTCTTCAGGATGTTCTCCAAATTCGATGTTATTATATCTGTTAGAAAGCTGAATTATTGCTCTTCAAAACCATATGAATGTTTTTTTTATTTTTTTTTTATTTAATGTTTATGTAAAAGGATTAAATAAACAAAAACTCTATTTATTATGTATCTCTATTTGTATCCAACACTGTCATCACCACCTATGCCGATGACACGTGTATCCTATCAGTTAATAACGATCCTTTAATTGCATCCCAAACTCTTCAATCACATATCACAAGCCTTGAAGAATGGTGTAAAAATTGGAGAATAAAAATAAATTCCAACAAATCCCATCAAATCACTTTTACCCTCCGTCGTAAACCTATGACCTCTTGTCCTACAGTATCCTTCAATAATACTCCACTTATTCCTGTTGAGCAAATCCGCTACTTAGGACTCCACCTTGACAAACGACTCACTTGGAACCCCCATACCAGACTGAAACGACTAGAAACCGCCCGACGTTTTCGACTACTGCAGCACTTACTAGACAAACGATCTAAGCTTTCAATCAATTATAAACGACTCGTATATATGACAATAATAAGACCTATTTGGACTTACGGAATTGAGCTTTGGGGCTCCACTAAACCATCGAATTCCTCTCGTATCCAATCCTTACAATCCAAAATCCTTCGTAAAATCCTCAACGCTCCTTACTTTGTCACAAATAAAATCATCCATAAAGACCTTAATGTTCCATATGTTTCCGATCTGGCCCAATCCAGATACCTTTCCTTCCATAACAAACTGCAGAATCATCCGAATCCTCTCGTTTCAAACCTTGCTTCCTCCTCGATCCCTGATAACCCTCCGAGGCGTCTGAAAAGAAGATGGCCTCGGGATCTTCTAATATAGAACTTTAATTTGAGTTCTATCAATGGGTAGTTTCTCTTCATGTTGTACATGCCATGTTACAAATTTCTCATTTACTTATTGTATTCTCTATGTAATACAGTTGTAAATTCCATTGAAATAATAAAAAAAAAAAAAATCTCTATTTGTACTTTGTTTACGAAGATTCTGTTGATATCATTTTGTGTAGTATATGTTGCCCTAAATTCCTTTTAAATTTCTTGTAGATACAAACAGTCGACTATAAAGCGGAATTGAAGTTAGAACATTTCTTGTGATTTATGAAAAAAAAAAAAAAAAAATCATATGAGGGACCCAAACATTAAGCCTGGAAACATAGCCGAGCATTTTATGTCTTTTTTTATTTTTTTTCAATTCTTCACAATCAGATGATATAATATATAATTTTAATTAACAGCGTTGATGACCAACAGGTTTTACGACTTTACTATACAAAAACCATAGCTGAGCTTGAGCAAATGGTTTTCTACGCTTGTGTGCGACACATTTAGGGCCATAGCAACTATGAGCTTCTGAAGCAGCCTTACTTTTTTAAAAATAATACAACAAAATATGACGATAATGAAGGATATTTTCTTCCATATTCACAGTGCAATAGCAAACACAATACTAAGCTAGTGTCAACAAGAGTTAACAGATATAGTTGTTGACATATCACAAACAGGATAAACAATCCACTTTAGGGATTAATTCATCAGATAAGATATGTTTCATAGTGACATAAAAATAAACAGACAAACCGAAAGGACTTATTTACCAAAACAATACATCCCAACATTACACTCGCTGGTTTTTGGAATTTCTGGCAGGTGTACGTGAAGAAATAAAGTAAAAAAAAAAGTAATAATCAATTTCTTTTTGGGATAATTCTGTTAGACTACTAGAGAAAATTTTGAAAAAAAAAATCAATAGATAAATGTTCCCTATACTCTCAAACCAGACTAAAATTTTTAACTTCTAGATACAACTCACCTTACACTAGATTCAACTTTTTCGTTTTACCATAGCATATAAATTTGTCATTTCATAATATCAAAGGCACATCAATCATATGTGATTCAATAAATATCGTTTTCTCATTAAAATAGTTATTTTGGCTTAATATGTTTAATTATTAAAACTGTTTTTCTGTATGGCTACTTCCTTACCCAGGGATGTGTAAATGACTAATCTTGAAATTTATATCGGGGTTTAGTACTGATATAGAGACCTATGTGTTAAAGTTGTGACCAATCTAAGCAAATTGAAAACACATTTCTGGACGTTGAAGTAATGATATAGACGTATAATATACCGTTCGAAAGTTTAATACTTTAGAAAAATGAATATCTAAGAGATAAAGTCGTTGAAGATAATGGAGAGTGAAGAAAAACAAGTTAATTCATTCAGGTAGTAAGTTCCATTTTCTATTTTTATGATTATTGAAGAAGAAATAAACGTTTCCAAAGAACCTTGTTTGGTAAATTTAATTTCCATGGCAAACAGATGGGAAACTAGGTATTTTTCCGCTTGATATACAAGCAGCAATGATAATGCACAGGATTGTGATAATCTATATTAATTGGCTTAGGTATGTATTTATAATTAAAGAAATATGGTTAAGGTAGAATAATTAAAAAAAAAAAAAATTGAAAGTAAGACCACCATACTACGATATGTGAATGTGGTTAGATGTTAGATCACATCGGTTATAAAATTTCGAAACTTAATTGAAAAATTATATAATTTAGTGTTTATTTATCACGTTTATAAATATATTTAATATCCCTAATTAATAATTAATAATTATAAATAAAATAAATGCAAAATAATCCAATTTGTGATGTAATTATGAAAGTCGCTAAAAATGTTGAAAAATCAACTTGAAACATTGATGAACTTTTATGTATTGTATAACATAATATCTTAACAAAAAAAAAACTATCTGCTCGTAATTTACAAATTAAAACTACCTTAAATAATAAGGTGGATAGTAACAATTATGGCGATTTGTTACTATTTTAACACAAAATTTATAATGAAAATATTAATTTTGAAACTTAATTAAAACAATAGCTATAATTTTATAACTTATAATCAGGTTTCATACGTTAACATTCCAATTAAGTTTAATAAAACTTTTTTTATTTTGGAATTGATTTATGAGGAAACTAAAATGAAAACTCTAACGTACGTAAACCAATATGTCTGCTTTGAGTGATTAATGAAAGAGTATTGCCAATATCCCTCCCTTAATATCTGTCATCATCCAGAAATAAAATTGATAAAGGGACGATTATTGTGATTGTTCTGTTACCTGGCATCAGCAAAGTTGTCTTTAAAATAATTCCTATCCTTCATCTAGAATAGTATTTATAGAAACCAGTTTAGAGGAATTATACAATTGCGATTCGGCTATAAAGTAACATCAATTAGAATTAGAAGGCAAGGTTATTGGCAGTTCATAGGCTTTAAGAAAAAGTTTGATATTTATAAATATTAAGACAAAATTCTAATAGGCAGCTGGTCTAAATGATAATAATCTTGATTTGGATATTTAATTTCGATTGTTTTTAATATATCAGTTTACTTTTAAATTTATAAACCACATAACATGGAGTCGATTGAAAATCACATTGAAAATTAAATCCATCATGTATATTAATGTAATAAGTAATTAATTAATTGAATGAACATTCTCAGAAGAGAAGATGACTGCGGAATTTATCCAAAGCGGCTTAGAATAAACACTCAAAACTGGGAGAATGAAAAAGGGTTTATACTGACTTTTTTTAAAAATTTAATTAAATAAAGTTTACTATTCAGAACCGTGATCCACTATTTTTTTTTATTCTTTCTTCTACTAGATGATTAAAACGGAATAAAATGAGGTAAAAAAGTATTTGCTACTGTAAATGAAATATAAAGCAGTGGTACTGAGTTTTTGAATCGATTACACCTTACAAAGTAGGCAAACATACTCTTGGAAGCAGAAAGTATAAGTAACTATATTATTTATAGGTAATAATACAGGTATTGATTGATATTGTATTTACTCATTGCAGTCTCATAATTTCAAGATTTGACTCAGCACCGAATTGATAAAAGTGCTGAATATATTTATAACCTTCATTAATAAACAATTATGACAAGAAGAGGTAAAATAATTTTAGTTTTACACTTAAAGGCATCAAAAACACTGGCATTATTTTTGGAAAATTCAATTAATGTGGAATCATTTAAATTCCTATAAGAATTTTAGTACAAAACATATCTTAGGGGATATGTATAGCCATTTCCATGATAACAAAATTAACAATAAAAAAAATGTACTGTGACTCGAGAAAAAAAAAGTTCTTATATACTAACAAGAAAAATATTCTGAAATGACAGACATTACAATAAAGTTTTATTGATCCATGAAAATTTGCCAAACAATCAAATTTTAAGACCTAAAAATATTTTCTTTATGGGAATTTGAAGGTTGGCTAAAATATTAAGGCTTTGTCAATAGAAAATCATGACTTAAAAGGATCACTAAAGAATAGAAAGAAGGAAGATAAGTGGGATTATAAAAACATTAATACGTGATTTTTTAAAACATACTTATTTCCAAAAAACATTTTATCTTGGAAAATAAAAGTTCAATGAAGGTAATTTTAATAGAATATTTTCAACATCATTTAAATTAGAAACATTTAAAAATTGAACAGTACAATTATGGATTTATAATGCTTTGAATATCCTGCTTTATTCACATAGAAAATCCTGATTCACCAGATCTCTTTCAGTGCATTATTATTGTTTCCAATGTTGTTTATATATACTGTATCCCGGCTGTAAAGGACAACATGGTACATTTTTCCATAAGTTTCAGCTATGAAAATTTATTTTCTAGTTACTAAATTATTTTTAAAAAACTGTACATGGTATTCTTTACATGCAAGGCCTAGATATATTCTTATTAATTAATTTTTGCCAACCATTTCAGTTATAAATATATATCAATATTTATGAATTATTAATTATATTAAGCATACATTAAATTTTAAATATTTAAATTAGATCCAGGATTGTTAATGTTAAAATAACAACAAAACTGGGAGATAGGTAATGTATTCTGTAATCGCTAAGCCATTACAGATCGTTCCTTGCCTGTCTTTCTGCTTGGGTTTCTGCCTCTTCGCCTCAATCTTCGTGTTCCTCTCCGAGATGCTCTTGGGACACTTCGCTATGCTAGGAAAGAAACTAAGTTTGATGGAGTACGGAAAAGGACCATTAGAATCCAAGCTGTCTAACTGTATCGATCATCACACCAGGCTGCTCAAGTAAGGCATTAGAATTGTAATTGTAAACATGTCCTGATCTAACAGTAATATTGATTATTAAATTTTATTTTGTCATATAAAATACTACATTATTATTTTAATTTTAATATTTTAATTTATTTAAAATAATAAAAAATATGAAGTATGTCAATACAATTTTTTTAAATTAATATATTTTATATAAGAAAGATTATTAAATAAGAATTCAATGACTGTTAAAAAGAGGTCATAAGAATTGCGTCCCCATTCAAGTTGGCAAAAAAGTTTGCGTATTGAAATTTATTGACGAAGCGTTTATTGATTAAAATTGGCTTTATTTATTATTTTTTAAAAAATTATATACAGCGATGATTTTTATAAGCTTTTAAATATTTCAAACAAGTTTCTTAAATAACCTAAAAAATTAAGGTAAAGGAAAATAGTCTAAAACGGAATACAGGCCAGAAGAAATAATATTGTGTTGCCTCAGGATTGGTCATTGCCAATAATCCCATGGGTAATCTTCGGGTCTGGAAGCCCCTACCAGTGTTGTTGTGATCCCCCTAGGATTGTCCCCCCCTGTACTGATCGAGTGCCAATAGTATTCCCGCAAAAGCAAACAACTAAACATGCGTGACACAATAAGAGGAATACTGAAAGACTCAGAAACTGAAGCGAAATCCCTTATAGAATACTTGAAAAAAGAAAACGTGTTTTTCCACCGAGTATGAACATACACGAAATGCCAATGACCCTTCAGACTAGAGGCATCAATAAACCTAAAAATTAAAAATAGAAAACATATATTTTGTTTTATCAGATGAATAGTTTTCTATTAGCTTTAAACTGTGTCAGAACGAGTACAAAAAAATTGTAGATTTTAGGTTTTAAGAAAGTTAATACATGAAAACTAAAAATATGTACAAATTGATTTTTTTCCCATAACACATAAACTACATATGAACTCATTTCTAAGTCTTCAATTAAAATTTTTAGACCTATAGTTGTTTTGACACGGAACGATATCGATTTATCGATCAGATTTAGTTAATATCTGTTTTGTTATATACTAAAGGTTTCTTTTCTTCATTCTATTCTCATTAGCATTAGGTGAAAATTTTTGTTAAATTTCACGCATAATTCGAAATGGACTGGATACTTTATTTGTTTTATTAGTCCTACACCAAAAGTTAACCAAAATTTACGATTCTATAAAATATTTATTTGTTAGTGTACAAAGTTGTCCGTGTAGAAATTCTTGATTGATGGACGTTCATTGTTGTGAGCTGCTGAAATATACTATTCCTTGAACAATAACAATTGTGTAATTGAATACTACAGCAACCTTCATGTATTAAGCTGAATGTATAACTCAAAGTAAAAGCTTCTTTGGAAATACGAAATGCCTGAGCATTTGGTAGCAAATACAGACGAGGGTAAGACGTAAGGGAACGCGGGGAAACTTTTGTATTCACAAAGACGTCTCCTTAAGACTTACAAGCATTGTGTTGGATCCTCTTCAGAATAACGCAAATAACCGTTTTTACGAATCATGGCTAACGTAAGATTTATCGTTCCAGGAAGGGGAGGAGGGAAATAATGTATTCATTGAGCATACGCTTATAATTCTTTCAAGTATAGTTTGGACAGAACACACCAGCATTGGTTTACTAAATTTTTTTTATCTATCAATTTATTTAATGTAACAGTTTTTCTGAAGATATTATTTCTTTTCTGTAACATTCTGTTATTCTTACTGACCTTCATCGAGGAATATAGTAATTTTTTTTATCTATTTATCTAACTTGATAAAACACAGTTTTAGCTAGGACTATCACACTCGGGTTCAAGTACAAATCGGTCTAGATCTATGGATCATAACTGCTATATGTCATTAGCTGCAGTAGGACTAAAACTTCCTGTGAAACAGAGCTTACGTTGTTTAAACTTCTGAGTGGTTTTTGACATTCAAGACAAATATCATTACTATCTGTGATTAATGCAAACATATTTATAATTATAACATCCATCAAAATAGTATTATATTTATAACATAAGCAGTAATAGACGTAAATAAATAAACACTATTCATTTGTAGTTTCTAATTGTACTTGCTAATTGATAAGCTAATTATAAAATAAAAATATGAATGGCATTCTAAAATTTAATGAAATGCTGTTTACTAAAATAAATCGCCAAAAAAACATGGTAAAATAAACAAATTAAAACAACTAAAACATTTGTAAATACTTTAATTTAATATTTATCTATAACATTTACTGCCATTTGGTAATGTATTTTATGGTATGTTGAGATTATTGACGATGATTTAAAAAAGTTATTGTTAAAAAATCAGTTCATAAATTGGCCAATATGGCCTAAACATAAACGTAAACAAACTATGTTTTTCTTCTGTTAAAAAATATTTTTATTGGTGCAATGTGTTGTTGAGATTGTATTCACTTAACCTTAAATATTAATTAACTAAGAATCGCGCTACTTATTAAAAAAGTTATTTAACATAAAATTTAGTTTGTATTTTTATTGTAGTTTTTATAAGAATAACTACTCCGTTCAGTTTGAGCCCCAAAATAAGAAAAATTTCCTCCCTGGGCTGCAGAGAATATAACTCTTCGCTTTCTTTTTGTTTTGCATGTTTGTGTCAACAGCCGGAGCCGATGGGCGGAAAAAACAAACTTCCCCTCCTGCCCTGACATATCTATTTCTACACGAGGCCTATATCCGGTCAATCCACTCAATAGCAACATCGGAATAGAAACTAAAGTCATGAATACCATCTTCAATAGACCCACAGAGATTGCTGCTTATTGCATTATAAATAAAACTATCTTAATTTAAATAAGTACTATTTTCAACTAAGATTTATTGAATTTAAAAAATATATATTTATTTTAAAAAAATAATATATAAATACAAATTATTGGATTCCAAAGGCAATATTTACATATAGGCAATTTAAATTAAAAAGAAAGTTACTAAATTAAGCATAAAGTTAGGAAAAAGACATAAGATGATTATATTATAAATGGAACTCAGAATTCAAACAATAAAGCCTACATACACGTGAATAGTTAACTTAAATTTTTATTTATTTTTGCTATTTTAAATTTGTCACTGCGTTGGAACGCATCAAGCAAATGTGTTGGCGTTAGTTATATCTTCTTGAATTCCTGATATCTTCTTAACTTTTCAACAGACCTCTAGGCCACTGCCTTTTTAGTCGTCTTTGAGGCTCACCAGGTAACAGGGAGGAAGATAGAGATAGAACACGATAAGTGTGAAATGTTGTGTATGTAGGATATTACTTTTGGTATGTTCATGTCTTTGTGTATGGTGTGATTTGAAATAAACCAAGGAGCATTGCCAATTTTACGAAGTATTTTGGATTGTGTGGTTTGAATTTTGTTGATGTGTGTGTGTTTTGCGGAACCCCAAAGTTCTGCTCCGTATGTCCAAATAGGCCTTAGTATAGTGGTGTAGATTAGTCGCTTGTTTAGTAAGTTGAGTGGAGATCTGTAGTCTAAAAGATGTGACAGTTGTTTGTGTCGTCTGGTCAGTTCTTGTTTTTTTAATTTAGTGTGAATTTTCCAGGTGAGTTTTTTGTCCAAGTATAGTCCGAGATACCGTATATGTGTTTTTGAGGGAACTGGTTTATTATCTATTGTCACAGCAGGACACGAGATTTCCCTCAGGGAGAAGCTAACATGAGTTGACTTGCTAGGATTGATGTTAATTCCCCATTTGTGAAACCATTTTTCAAGGACGTGCAGGTGATTTTGAAGGGCTATTGAAGTGATAGTGGGATTTTTGTGAGAAGAAAGTATTTAAAGGATTTAAGTTTAAGTTAACTTAAATAAGGAAACAAAAAACAATTTTTCTTTTTTGTTTTTTTCTTTCTACATATATCTGAACTTTTTTTTTCTGCCTTGATGATGCCTGAATTGGCGAAATGTTGGAAGGTTAACTAGTCACTTGTACGTTGGAGACTCATGACTTTGTTGTTTGGATCTTCCCATTTAGAAAAGAAAAAAAAAAGTATTTAAATAAATATATTTCTTTTCCCCAGGGAGTAAGTAAGGACCGTCGTCCTACTTGAGGCAACTCGTTCGGACCGAGCATAGGAGTGATAGCCTCACCCTGACTTCCTCAATTGGTAATCTCGATGCCAATTCAATAAGAAAAAAAAAATACAAAATATGTACAATAATTTTGCTTTAGTACTATTAATGTTTATTAAGTAGTTACCACCCTGGTTTATAATACATCTTCAATTCCTGAGTATAGCATCATTATTCATACAGTCACCCTTTATGGAGTATCCATTTCCACAACTGACCGCGAACATCCTTCTGGCTCCCTTCATACCTGTCACCTCCCACAAATTTATGGTCTGTAGCTAACATTAACTTTGCGATGTTGCGAGTCCGTCCATCTGACCGAATTGGTTCTGAGCATATTGAGTAACTGTGGGCACCTCTGTAGCATTTAGAACTCGTTAGTATAACATAGAAACTTATCGAACATAACTTATCGATTCATCGCTTATAAAGGACAATGGCTCCGTATAACAGCCTTCTAAAGATGAAGTTTACCAGCCACTTAGAGCTCACTCAACATCATATTAGTCTGTCAAAAGTCTTCAGGGATCACGCAAAGGAGGAACCTTTAGTGAACTTTACCAGTTTTTTTTTTCCTACTAAATTTAGAACAAAGACACAGATTATTTAATAATAACGATCTGGCTTCGTAAATAATCGATTGTTTTGGAGAAATAATGTCATTGGCCCGATCACTGTTATGAAAATAACTCTTATACCATAAAAATGGATGATTTAGACTGACAAGATGTAGTTTTGAAGAATCAAATGTAATTAGTTATGCGATCTGGTTTTAAAAAAATTCGAATTTCATTTCTAAAAGTCAGTGATATGAAGGTTGGTGTATACCTGTTACTCAATCATTTTTTGCGTTATTACTTTTAAAGTTTTTTTTTCCATTTTTTAAATTTAGTAGTTCCAGTTAAAATAAATCTATTGGTTATTATATTCTAATTATCAAAACTAAATCGAATAATTAAATTTTATTTATTGTATAAATTTTTTTTGATTATTATTTACTTGCTATTATGCTTTTGGTTTTATTATATTTTCTGTATATATAATGTGAATGTAATCTTACCTCACTATAACTCTATCCATGTGAAAGAATGTTATATTACGCAATAAAAAAAATATTGGAAGTGGAATACATCTTTCAGAGAGTACATATCAGAAGAAATAATATTGACAAGTTCGAAAATCAGACATGCAAAATTTACTTAATGATGGTGACCTATACATGGTCATCTATTGAGAGGCCTGAAACTATCATTTTGTTATGCAAGAAACACATCACTTACACCGAAACACATTATAACAGCTTCCAAACTTTACTTAGCTCATTTTAGCGACAAATTTTCAGAAAGTTGGACATTTTTCATCCTCTCACCAATTACATAGAATATTTGAATTGTTCGATGTTTATTCATTTCACTCGACGTCTTAAAGTACTCCAAAAAGCTCTAACATCATGGTATATCCAATATGCAGCCAACCTACTATATTTCGATATCGTAATATTTTGACGTGAGATAGCTTACAAAGAAATTTAGTATTTTATTTACTTTTTTATATTAAAAAATTCAAATTCGTGCTCCACTACAACCCATGGAGGGCTTGGGTTTCTTTTTTTTATACTGTTTCAAGACCAACTGATTTTCCCTCTTAATTAATTATTTAATTATGAATACCCGCTTTATAAAGGCAGTGTGCGCCCTAGGAGGCTGGGCCCAGGATCGATTTATTGCAGCTTTAGATAAAGAAAGATAGCTGCAGCTGGAAAAAAGCCTGCAACAGCTGGACTAGAATCAGAGACCTTGAACATTGAAAGTCAGTGTTTATATGTAGAAAAAAAAAAAAAGGAAAAATGTATTTTCTTTCCATATTTGAGTTACCTATTCAACCCCCTTCCGTTAAGTTATGAACCACAATATTTTTTTAATAAATTATAATTTTATCTGTATAGTAAAACTTTTTTGTTATCTATTATGCATACGAAAGCCAACATGGTGGTGCTGTATTTTTATCTTACTGTCACAAAGCACTTCAAGGTCCGTAATATAACATTAAGGAGACTTATAAAGAAACATATGGAAGTTGAAAAGATTATGTATAATAAGAGACTATTAATAATGTTTTATCAGATTTTATTACTAAAACCATTTAATGATAGTTTGACTTCTATAGTATTTGGTAAGTTGAAATGTGTGTTAACTAGAACTAAATTATGGGGGTGAGGTAGCCGAGCGGGCTAATACCTGTGCACAGCACGGTGCCGATGTTTAACATAAAAAAAAAATTACGAGTTCAAATCCCGGGGCCCGGTGGGACTTTTAACTCGGCATAATTCCTCCGCCCTCTCCTCCGATCCGGGAAAAAATCCATGACGCCTAAACGACAAAGAAGGAGAGACAAACAAAAATTGATGAATTGTGAATTTCTTTTCAGGATTTGTTCAATGTTCCAAGACATTACATCGATACCATTACTAACTCAGTGCATCTTCACTGTCTTAGCGCTGTGCATGGCCATGTTTGAACTATCTGATGTAAGTAGAATTTTATTTTGTACTCATAATACCGAATTATTATTAATACATAATTATTACTAGTTAATAATTTCAAATATTTGATTATATCACTTATTTTCATGATTTTATTTAGTTTGGAATTAGATGGCCAATAAGTCAAATACATATGGATAAATCATTAAATCAGTGTTAGAGAAACCGACCTCCATATTATTATACTTGGCCACTTCCAAAATCCGATCTGAGAAAGAAGAGCAAAGTAGTGTATAGCAGTTATATCTTGACAAGACTGTTAATGTCATTATTCTTGATTTGCTCACATTTATTTGTTGACGGGATAGCCGAGCGTAAAACACGCTACCTTCATAAACCTGATAACCGAAGTTTAAAATAATTATGAGTGCGCTTCCCGGTTCTGGGGGGAAAGGGGGCTTTAGAACTCTAGCAGGAATCCCTCGCCCTCTATTCTGGATCAAAAAATCCGCATAGCCTACAACCTCACTTAAAAGGCGAGGAAGGGTGAATAAAAAAAAAAAAAAAAAGGGTTGTATTTATTTCGCAGGTTTGCTGCAAAAAGGCACTAAGTAAACTTTTGGTCGATTTGAACCTGAAGATAAGTAGTTGTTAATTGCGATCATATTTACGGATACAATAACTCATTAGGTTTGTTAAAATAATGCAAATCCTTAACGTAAAAAATAGTTTAACTAAATGCACGACGTTTCACTAAGTCACTATGTTTTTCACTATTTCATTAAGTTCTGATTTTATAAAGCAAAACGTCACCATCTGGTACTTAATGATCTCTTGTTATCTAAATGATGTTAAAATATATCGCCAAAATTCACTATCTAGTACTTAATGACTTCTTTCACTGGAATAATTGATCAGATGGTTAATAAAACTAAATGAGCTAAGCCTAACTCGCTCTCTATGTACTTGGAAGATTATAAAATGTAAGTCAGTGTTTTGTTTAACTATGATAATGTGCAAAAAGTCACTATGTTCGATGTAGTTTGATTTTTTAATTTTTTTGTTCATTTTTCTGTATATTTTAAGTATTTTAATTAATTATAACAAATAGAATACATATTTAGAATTTCAAATAATAAAAATAAATGATCAAATTGATATTTTAGGAATTTTTTAATGAATCAGAAACTTCGAATTCGATTATCTCAAATCCATTAAAATGTTGCTTAATGTTTTTTTTTTTTTGTAATAAACCGACGATTTAATATAGTTCTAAATTTCAATAAATAATAATAATAAAAAAATTGTGCATCCCATGGACATGAGAATATAGTTGATAAATTTGGCATAATGTAATGTAAACTATATCATTCTCTAAGATGTATTAGTAGGAGTGGTTGACAAAGACGAACTTAAACAATAGCTTGAGAGCTAGAACTTCTGAGAAAACAGAGTCGAGAAAGTAAAATCTGCTTCTATCTCGTTATGAACCATAATACGAAAAGTTCCATTAAGTACAATTCGAGTGATGGAAAGATAACCAGACGGACTTTTTTTTTTTTTAAATATGTTTGGAAAGTATAATTAGATTGAAGGGTTTATTGTTATAGCTACACTTGTCAAATAGAAATTCCTGAGCCTCTGTATGATTCTTCGAGCTGAAACTCCTGTGTTAGCTTTATTCGATTCTATCATGAACTTCATACATTTTAAGAAAACCGAATTAAGTCTTAATGTTACAATTACCCACTAAGAGACATATCCATAGGATGTAACCCACAAAGGCAACATTAGCTACCCTAAAATGAAAGTGGAACTTCTCTGGTTAAACTGTAGATTCTATTCTTCCCCACCTTTATAGTGTTGTTTGATTGCTTTATATTTTTCTTAGTCAGCAAATTTACCTACATTTTTTGTTTATTTATTTTATTCATTGATATTTACAACTGTATTATAGAAAAATACAAATAGTAAATCTGCACTCAAGAATATAATAACATGAAATCTCTTGTTGAAAAACTACCCACTGATAGCACTCAAATACCAAAATTAAAATTAATTTTGTATGTTACGAAGATGAACAAATCAGATAAGGACTCGAAACAAACGATATAGGTTAAGATTTAAAAATACAAATAGAGAAAGAGATAAAAAAAAAAAAAATCTATTGAAAATACAATCCATACCTATAGGAAAAACATTTATAGAAATTAAGTGAGAATGAGTTTTTGGTTCAGAAATAGGGGAACGAATAGGATGTATAATTTTTCAACATTTTTTTGCATCAAATTTTTATCAAACCATTTTTCAACCAAATATTTGTATTATTATTTCTGTTATACAAAATACAATTAATACTCAAAGTAAAGACCATTGTTATTTCCCGCCATTAGCCATCTGCTAGCCAATTGCTCGATCTCACGCTAATACCATTCTTTGGGATGGCTGCCAAAAAACTCTTGGACAGTAATTTCAACTTTCGCAAAATTATCAAATTTTTTCCCTTGAAGAAAATGGGCCATGTATCTAAATAAGTAGTAATCGGATGGTGCGAGGTCTGGACTATATGGTGGACTTTTTTTTTTAATGAAATTTCTTTATTGAGATATATTACAATCTGTCACATTTATTGACAATATTAATAGTGATAAAAAGTAGTTCATTCATACTATGCATAATACATAAAAATAAATAAACAGCAATATAATAATACTAAAAGTAAATGTATATAAACTAAAATATCCTAAACTAAACAAAAATAACAAAATAAATACTTAAATACATTCATGATTCTATGGTGGATAAGGCAGAAGTTCGAACCCATGAAGTTCTTTAAAATTTTGTTTGGTTCGCCGGGAAGTGTGAGGACGAGCATTACCTTGTTGCAATAAAATTCCTTTTCGGTTGATCGAAGCAGGGTAACGCTCTGACAACTTCGCGTACAATCTTTCCAGTTGTTTGCAGTATTGTTCACAATTCTTAGATTATCCATCAGGAACAAATTTGTGATGAATAACACCTTCACAATTCCAAAAACGCAGTGCAATTTTTTTTCAAATTGCTCCTTGCCGCATTATGAAAAACAGTATGACCGCAATCTAGCCATTTCTCACGGGAATTTAGATTTCGCAAGTACACACAAGTTTCATTTCAGGAGATAATCTTCCGGTAAAATCACATTTTAGAAAGGATTTTCAGTAATTTTCACAAATTTCCAACTTCTTAGCCGACTGCTGAGGAGTAAGCTTGTGAGAGACCAGGCTACTGCTCTTTTTCACCTTCCCAATAGAGAACAGATAGCGACTAACAGTATCATTCGACAGACTCCCTGGCAAGTTCGCGAGTACTTGTGGACGGATTTGACTCCACAGCTTCATGTAGAACCTCATCAATATTCATAAATGGTCGTCCGGAGCCATTCTTTCTTTCCAAAGTATCACTGCTAAATTTTTCAAACCAACGCCACGCAATGCGCTGGTCAAGGACACCTTCCTCTTCATATTTAATAATTTTACGAGTTGCTTCAGCAGCTGTGAATTTTTTTCCCACAGTAATAGCTTAAAATTACGGGAATTTTGAGGACACTGTGATGTTTCTTCTTTGAAACAAACAACTAAACTGAGACTTTTTTTTAGAAGTCGAATGGGGGCAGCTAAGAGAATGCTGTAAAGGTATTATTAAGTATTGGTAAAAAATATTTACAGTCCATAGAGATCTTGAATTTGATACAACGGTCATTTTTGTCTATACACGCCAGTATTTCTCTTTAAACTGCTAATATAAACCATAAATATTGCGAAAAAGATTTAGACGGAGATGAATGGTTGTTAAAATTGATTGAGTTTTAATTTTAAAAATCAATCCATGCTTATTTTATTTTGTTTTCTTTTTATTTAAATAATGTTTTTTTAGTAGTTTTTTTTTTAAAATGGTGTTATTTTTACTTGTTTCAATATAATTTTACTGAAGATACTGTATATATTCTTTAATATTGACTAATGTAATTTTTGGCCAGATGTAGTTTTTTTTTTTTTTGTTCATATCTGTTATTCATAAGGGTCCTCGTTCCAGAATAAAGTTTACTTTCTATAAAAAAAATAAATAAATAAAAAAGATATTTTGGAAAATGTAAGGGAACAATTTAAAGAATATGGCGGAAAATATTGTTTTGGACTCTTCCATCTCCACTTAATATTCTTAGTCAATGCGTTACCAATACAATGGACAAAAAGGAAATATAAGAAAAGAAAATGAGGAAAGTTTATCTTGGTTTTTTCAAATATCATAAGTAACTCTGATCAGTACGCCGAGTCATTTAGCAATCTAAAAAATCTATACAGATTTCTAAGGAATAAAGAAACAAAGGAGGAGAAACGAATGAGAAAGAGTAATATAGGCTCCTGAGGGATGATAAACCCAGTAGAAAATTATACGAAAAGATAATGAGAAAAAGCAGAGAGAGAAAAAGGTCTTGTGAGAAAACATTGTGAGGCGACAGGAGATAGAGCGAGCTCCTTCACTCTCTCAGCCAACTCCAATGCCCTTTTTTTTTTAAGATAAGGTATTGCATTAGTTGGCCTAGCACATATCTCACCTGCCTTAATGTCAACAAATAACAATTCCCACCACCTCTGCCTTATAGTTGATTTATCAAGAGTCTTATAGTGGTTCGAGCAGCTATTAGTTCAACCAAGACACCTACCTCAAAGTACCTATGACAGCAAACATCTTCAAGTGTTTTAAATAAATTTGAAAAAAATAGTGTAATAAATTACCCACTATAAGGTACTAATTACAAAAAAAAGATGATAAGATTACAAGCAACGAAAAATCATGAATAATAAGAAGGCAATTAAAGAATAAGAGCTAGGAAATCTTTTTTAAATTATATTTTTCTTATTTCTATGTAATAGAAAACATTATTTAATTATTTATAAATAGTCCTTTTAAATATAGTATGAATGTGCTATTTCACCACTATCATCCTTCATATTCTTTTATATAACTATCCATTTTGATGGTTTCAGAAATTATTGAGTAAATCTTCTTTAACATCATAAACAGCTAAAATTTTAAATTTAAAATTAATCGATACCCCATAGCACGATTTCAATCGTTGCAATTTTAATCCTAATGCCATCTAGCTACTAATAAAGATGGAAACTTGTCTTATAACGTGTACTTACCAAATATCTGAAATTCAAAACATGTAAACGCATCTGAGATAATGATAATTTCGATTCATCCTTGTCAACTTTACTATCAAGTCTGCAAGAAAATAATAATATATGAGATGTACCTATATGGATGAGTCCTAGAAATACTTTATTAATTTAATCAATATTTTCAATTTTTCGATATGTGGTCCCATTCCATTGTTACTGAGAGCCTAGATTTTAAAAATGATGTCGAAAGTACCATCGCATCCTTTCATTTTAACTTATACGATCCAACGATTTTAAATTTTACGATACCTTATTCTTCGATTTGAGAGTCCATTTTTATTTTTCGGAGGTTTATATTTCGAAAATAATGCTTATTTTGTACCATTGTGTATAATTTTATTATTTGTTATTATTTGTTATTTTATTATTTCGAATTTCTTCGATGTGAATATCCATTTTATGTTTTCGAAATGCGAAGAGCTCTTGAAGGTACTTTAACATTACAAAAATTATAAAAGTTAAAAATAGATACCCAATTGCGTAATTTGAAACTTGAACAATGTGTAGTGGGCACTAGTAACCCTATCTGTCTTACGCCATTGTCACCACCTACAGACATGGAAACTAGTCCTGTAATATACACATATCGAATATCTGTAATTCAAACCAAATCAATACAACCGAAATAATTATCATTCTGAACCATACTTATATTTAACCATCAATTGTGGATATCAAAGACGAACATCTATCATTTTTAGAAAGACGAGAAAAAGCAAATTTTCTGCAACATATCTTCAATTTAGTTTTGTCCATCGATTGATGATTAGGCCTTCCAGTGATCTTCAACACTTAGTTCTGCGTTCTCATGAGATCATCAAACATTTCTTCAAATTTATGCTGGTGGATTTCAGAATTTTCTTCGTTCCTGAACTTGAATCAGTAAGCATCATTCACTATTTTCTTAGAACTATTTTTATTAGAACTATTTTCTTAGTTCGATTTTAATTGGTGCCCAATTGATCCACTGATGGAATGGAAGTGCAACCAATGATGAGGCCATCTAAAGCTGCGAGATATCGAGCTTTGCCAATTGTAATTAATGTATATGTGAAGATAGGTAGTAGATTGGTAACATGCTGCTTTACTTGTAAGTTAAAATCTCAAAGCAGAACTTTGTATCATGGTTAGTTTGCGTGATATCATAAACTTGTTCTTTTTTATATATTCAGAGACTTCCAATGATACATAGCAATTTTTGAAGGAACACCAGCTGATCTAAGCTTACTAAACCTACGAATCCTGTCTCCATGGAGTTAAGCTTTCCTTGACAACTAGAATAGATATTATGATGTTCTTTTTTGTTGTGCCACTCCCGATCTATTAGGCTGGATCCAATCTTGTCCAAGTTACAAATAAACCAATTTGGATAGGTTTGAGATATTAAAAAAAATAATAATGAAAGGTTAACTATTTGTGGAACTATTTGTGGATTTTTAAGCATCAGAATGGGTAAATTACATTAGTGAATAAATTATTTTTACAAAGTGGAAAAGTTTTTGTCCAGAAAAAAAGTAAATAACCTTATATGAAATGGAAAAAGATGTTATAAAAAAGAGAAAAACAATTTTAATAAATCACTACTGTCTCAGAATCAATTTGGGCTGGCCAAAATGGATAAAATGTGCTTTTTTTTCTTCCACAACATCAAAACGAATCCCTGGACCCAAGTTCCGGGAATTGGGCTGGTGGGTTGTGAACAATCAATTTATCATCCGTTATTTTTTAAATTAGCAATCACTGACCAGCTCGCTTCACGTAGGTGTATCAGGTCATAGTTGTTCGTGAGTCGACCATCAAGATTAGAAGCAATGCAATGCTACCTGCGCTGACGATACAACAATTTTAAAAAAATATCACGAGCCTAGCCTCGCTGAATTTACTTGGTTTTTGATAATTGATATTCACTTTGGAAAATTAGATTAAATCATGACAAATCACAACATATAACATTTACGCTTCGACGAGACACTTGCCCCCCGGTTTATATTGGCCACAACCAAATCCCACAGACGTACATTGTAGGTTATCTCGGGCTAATATTCAACAGTAGAATGACCTTGGGCCAACATGTTAAAATGAAAAAGATACTTTGAATAAGCCACTGAACATACTATACTCACTTTTTTCTAAATAAAAACTGAAAATCAGACAAAAACTAAACACGTACGCTTACCAACTTAAACCCATTTGGACATACGCCTCACAAATTTACGAATCTGAAAAATATACTTCACTTAAAATCATTTCAATTCAAAATTTTAAGACTAATAACAGTACGTAAACCCTAGTTCGTAAACAACAAAACGTTACTTAACAATTACGACAACCAACTATCGACCAACCCATACGTATTCTCTACTCCCGATTTCACCTTAAACTACACCGACATCACAACGGACATATTAACCAGATGGATACAGCTGGAATGTCCATCAAGAGACGACTGAAGAGGAGCTGGATGAGGGATCTCCTATTCTGAATTAAGGAAGTTAACCAAGACCAATAAGAGGTGCTGCTGGGTACCATTCTTCCTCATAAGTAAAATGCCAATTTTCTTTACTGCAACTTCACATCTGCTTATTGCCAAGACTATAACAGGTGTGGATAAAAAAATAATAATAGTAATTAATAATAGTTTCATTTTAATTAATGTGGTTCCATTAACGCCACAATCCTTTAAATATAGGTAAAATTCTACACAGTTCTGATGTGGGGAATATATTTTCCGGAACGGTAAGATATGAGACAAATAAAGCAAATATACAATCCAAAAAAGAATTTCGGTTGCCAAACCTACAAATACAATAAAATAAGTTTCAACAAATGAAATAAAAAGAAGAAATCAAGAATTTTTTTTCTCGTTATTTTTTTGTAAACGTTCATGACTCGAGTATTCATGAATATTATCCGTGAACGATTTCAACTGTTATGGAAGCAATCACAAACTGATTTATCAATATATTTATATGGTTTGTCGTCTTTTACTTGCACATTTTGCGCATGACAGTGGCCTTTCGTTTTGCGAAGATATTATTCTGCTGCAGTTGAATGATTCAAAAAGAGTATTTTCATACTCAAATGTTCAGAGATATTCTATTTTAAATAATATTAATAGATTGCCCGATATTAATGGTCTCTTAAAATAATAACAGCTCAATGTTGAAAAAAAAAAGAAATTATTATTAACTACAAAAGATATAAGTTGTATTTTTCCACTTTTCGCTATGACCTACGATTTTTGAAATATTTACCTTTATACAACATCTTGTAGTTACCTCGAGTTTGAATGATATACTTTAAAATTCATATTTTAAAGCAGTTTTTTAAATTATACAATGTATTTACAGAAACATTTTTAGAGTTTGTAGACTCTTGAGTTAGATAATTGCGTTCCTCATAGTTTGTTAAATGTCTAAACACAACTTAAAATGCACTATCATGTTTTTGAACAAACATTAATTGTATGTTATATTTTTCGTAACCAATTCGTTTCTTAATCTATATATATATTCGAAAACAATTATATTCATACAATAAATTATTTAGTTCAAGTGAAGAGTTATGGTTCGCTTATTCAAAATTCATCATTGATAACTAAATATAAAAATTTCCTATAAAGCGTATTAAAAAAAGACCAATACAATATCTACCCTTTAAAATCTTAGTATAATTTTTCGAAAATACATAAATTGAGAAAAAAGAAATATTGGTATGCTAAATTAAAGTGCATACCATTTTATTTGTCACATTTTTCACGCCGAATATTCATTGACGGCATACAAATTAAATTATTTAATATTTTTTAATTTTTAAATTTAATTAAAAAAATTAGTTAATTTTAAATATATCTGCACTTTTTTTGGAAAATTGTTCACAGGTAGAAGGAGCCAGCTCCGGGAGGATAATCAGTGTTTTAGCAGAAGCTCAACAGGAGTTGTTGTTTCTGGCCACTTATTGTTGGTATGGAAACGAAATTACAATACAGGTATAATATATATTATTTTAAAGTAATTAAATATTTGATCAAATGAAACATGAATCATCGCTTTCGTTATTATTTTATTTATTAGTTATACATATTCCTGGCTCACAATAAATTTGCCTACTTCCGTAGTCAGCAAATGTGATATCAAGGAGAAGAAATGATAGCATAAAGAAAAAAAAATAGTAATAACAAAACAAAAAAATGTTATTATATATATATATATATATATATATATATATATATATATATATATAAACTAGTATTATTATACGTTATTATTAAAAATATTTTTATTTGTTATATTCATTATAATATTATTTTAATGATTTTAATATATTATTGAAGTAAACTATAGAGATAGCTAAGCAGGACTGTATAATTCTCACAATATTTATTAAGTTTGCAGTGAGAATCAGATAAAAAGAAACGTTCTAACCATGAAATGAAAACCGAATTTTAAACCAAAACTCACTCAGCAATGCTTATCAGCAATAATTAAAAAAAACGTCTGCCAAGTAAGGTCAGTATAGCTTCCTCACCAAATTCACTAACAGAATACAGAAAATGAAGGGCTATACATATTTAAAACTTATCGATGCTTACATCCTACCCTTCAGTTATAACTAGTTAAAAAAAAACCTTATCACTTTGAAGTTTAAAAGGTGAATCGAGAGCAGAATCACTTGGTCGAACTTCAAAAGAAAATTTTACAGTCTGTGCAAAATTTAAGTCAAATTTACAAATATACTGTACATATAGTAAAGGAAAATCGCATTCCTAAGCGAAAGCTGGTGAAGAGATTCGGCAAAATATATATTTTTCAATCCCCACAAAACGTGAAAATTACATACAATTTGTTGTAACGACAGAAGGTGACATGCCAGTAATTTGTAAACGACAAAACATTTAGTTTAAATTTACTTTTTTGAATACAGTTTAAAATTTTATAAACTCATAAAACAATACTATGAACATAACCTCCCTTTCACATGACCAATGCCTTCCCCCTAAATGGCTGTGAATTTATGTATGGCTACGCGAGTGCAATTTTTCAATTCTGAGCACATAATTTTTTTTTTTTTATCTTCCGCACGAATACAAATCTTCCCTACCTTCGGTACTGAGGAAGCAAAAAAAAAATTACAGTAGAATGAATCGTTAGAAAAACCACTACATAAATTTCTTGTATAATTAAGACCAACGACGCTATTTTTTCTGTTAATTCACAGACTCACTAATACAAGCGCCCTACAAGAGTGGTTACATTGTTATGCCTCAGAGTTTGGTAAATAAACACCGAATTAAAAAGTTGAACAAGGTATATCTTTCAGGTACCAAATAAGGGTCTGGTTTCTGGTACACAACTTCCGCTTACGCATAAATAAATGTATTTTTTTTAGATATGTTTGTATTAAAAAAAAAAAGGCTTATTCGCTTTAGTATCGAGTTATAGAATTGTGTACTAATGGTATCAATTTTATCGAATTCCATTTAACAATTCAAATTAATGTAATTACTAAAAATATAATGACTGTGAAATATGGCAGGCAGGAAACATATATAGTGTAAGTGTTGATTTATAAATAAACTTGATGTGATTTATAAAATATTTGTATTGGAATGTTGTATATACTTTTAAAATTATCTGCGTGAAGCATCTGCATATATGCCTATACAAGATTTTGAAATTTTCTGAAATTTTTTGAAGTAATGAATTAAAACTAATTATGATTTTGGGGAAGGAGGAGGACTGGGTGGCGGTCATAATAAGACTAAAATAGTTAAAAAAATGTATTTAGTCATTTTTATGACTGTCACTGCTGACAATATCCTTTCTCTAATAAACAACGGTTTACCATCAAGTATCCAATAAGAAAATATGTTTTTATTGAGGAATAAAGAAAGAGAAAAAAAAATGAGGAAGCTACACTGACTTATTTAGCAAAGTTTATTATTGTTATTTTTTGCTGTTACTGATACTTGTTACTGTTACTGATACTGTTATTGTGTCTGTTATTGCTCAGTGCCTGGAGCTGATGCGGGCGGGCTACATGAGCAACTGGTACCAGGGGACCACCAGGGAGAAGAGGATGCTCCTCAACATCATGACCAGGACAGTGAGGCCCATCTACCTCGGCGGCTTCATCAAGATGGACATGATCACCTTCATCAATGTAATTCATCCATTGTCATCATCAACAATTCAATTAGTTTAAGCAGTTATCATTTTGGAAATTTGAATTATAAACAATCAAAGACAATTTCAATAGTCGGATACAAAGTTAAAAAATAATATTCTAATTTCATAACCATTTTATTCTGTCTTGACTGAAGAATTTAATGAGTAATGATAATATGATGACCTTCATATATTTTATTAATAAGGAAGTCTTTTTTTTGTTTCAATTTAATGTACTGATTGGAATATGTTTAATAATTATAATATTGTTAATATATTGAGGAGACGTTTCTTTCTGAGGAATCGGGCTGTAGTCGATATACATTACAGTACATACAACGTATTGCGATTTATCGTGACTTAGTCGAACAAGACTTTAAACGCCGCTCAGTAGTCATTGAGTAATAGCTATTAAAAAAATAACTACAAATAATATTTTAGAGAATATGGAGTAGAGTGAGTATAAAAGAATATATCCTCCAAAAATACATTTACCAGGTTTATTGTGAAAAATACTAATTCCGATTTGTGAACCGAGTAAAACTAAATCAACAGCTAGCTAGTGAGATATTACTAATGCATCGAAAGATATGATGAATACTTTGCGATGAATAAAGAAAATTAATAATAAATTAAAAGTGTTAAATAATAATATAAAAATGAAATAATAAAGGTTTCAAAAATATGGTAGTGATGAATCCATTTTACATGACCTCTCTGCGCACGCAATATATGTATATATATATACAGTTATATTTACATACATTAAAGGGAGATAACACCCAGTGATACATCTCCTGAAATTCAGAGAAATTTTACTGTCACACCCTCATCCATCTTTTTTTTTTAGCGTCTGCCGAGGTACATCTGGAATGTCAGTTGTTCCTACCATATTATATGTCCATGTGATTTGTCATAAAACTCGTTACAATATGATTTCGTTCTAATAGAAGAATGTGCTCAGTTGGTAACAAGCCTAAAGAAAACGTATGATTTACCATAATAATACACTGCTAAAGGATGCTACAAATATTGGGAAACTTGGTATATTGAGGGATATTATGTTGAGGAAAAGAATATGAATGGGGTCATTATCCTGGGCACACATTATTCTAACATGTAACCTTTCATGGGGGATTTTATATTGAAGATAATTTTAAACCATTTATATCACTGAATATTAAATAATCACTACATTATTCTGTATGAAATAGCTAGAACTGTTTCTTGAATACCGCATTTATTTAAGAATCATATGTGATATAGGACATATACATATAAGAAAATGAAGAAGAAGAAGAAGAAGAAGGAATAAAATTAAATTTCTTCCTGGATAATTTATTCTCCTAATAATTATAACAACTCTCCATATAAAATACCTAATTTTCAACAAGGTAATTTATATATATATTAAACGAAATCTGGTTAGAGAGAATATAACTGAGAACCATATTTTCTGTCGGGTTAGTTGGATAAGTGATGGCTTTAGGAGTCACCAGCAAATGTGACTTCCAAATGTGAAATTCCAAAGCAGGAATCATTTCCTGAACTCGGGCAATTTTTCACTAATGGTATCTAATCGTTTTTTCCTTAATTTTATTTTAAAATTAAAAATGGAAAATACATACAATGCATGCAAAAGAATATCAAGAAATGGAATGATAGTTCCCAGCACCATAAAGAATATGTTAATCACTCAATACTTGTTATCAGTATATTGAATGTATACATTCATTTCTAGTATATATAGCTATTAGGTGTGAGGCAGTGCAGTATTTGAAAATGAAAACCTTGGAAGAAAAAGAAAAAAAAATCATAGTTCTCATTAAAATATTTGTTCACAAAAATAAGTTCCCTTGGTTTTTAGTATAAAATTAAACGAAAATAGAAGTGAAAATAATGTTGATACTTTTCTGTAGGTGCTAAACATACAAGTTCGATAAGGAGATTCAGACTTTAGATCCAATATTGGAGAATGGTGGTTGGGCAAAGAATTATTTCCTTCGGGAGCACTGAGCCCCAGATATTTTCCCTTTGTGTAGTTTCCATAGAAGCCGCAAAATGTATTCAAATTTATCCTTTTTGTGTTATCCTAAAGCCATGCGTAAATTTCGTAGGGATGAAAATAATTTTTGAACAAAGGTTCGGTAATATGATATAAAAGAAACTTTTATATAATGATAAATTGAACAGTTATTAAAAATAAATATTGTTGTAGCTATAATAAAAACGTCGCTAACGTTTCATAAGATGAGACATTTTATTTCACCATGATAATGCCAGGCCACATATTACAAAACAAACAGTGAAAAATTTAAGGACCTTGGATAGGTAATTATTTCACATCTACCATATTCTTCTGACTTAACACCTTCCGATTATCAGGGTTTTTACAATCTCCAAAAGTCATTAAGTGGCAGGAACAAGAAGTAAAAGACGCAAGGAACACTTATTGAACAACAAGATGTTGGTTTTCTTTAATTCAATACTAAAGAATTTTTTTCAAAAAAGGTATACACAATTTGGTTTTAAGATGGTAAACGGTTACAAAACAATATGGTAAATACATTTTTGATTGTATTTGTTTCATTTTTTTTATCCTACACCTTATTTCATGGAATTTAGTATTATATAATATAATACCAAAATTACTTGTTGGATGGCCTAATAATAATGTCCTACATACCGACTTACAACAGCCAACTATCGACCAAGACATAAGTACTAAAAAAAAACTTCACGGTTTTAACAAAATACTGATTAACGATAGGCCTGCTGGTGACAAGCCCATTAGTAGGCAACAAAAAAGGAGCTGGGTGAGAGACCTCCATTTCTAACTTAAGGTACTTAATCAGGGCCAGGAAGATGTTTCGTGGAGTATTATCCTTCCTCTCGCCTGAAATATCATAGCCATAATTTATCATTTCATTTACTTATTCTTACTCTTATATATGATATATGTGAATGAAAAAATAACATAATTCAGAAAACCTAAAGGTTTTAAATTGTAAACATTAAATATTCACATAGTCTTTCACACATGTCAATAGATTTTACAACCAATATAGGGAAGGTCTATTCCCAATATTTTCTTTCCCTGGGCTTAATTCAGTTATTTTAGGTAGCAGAAGGAGCTCTCGCATCCAGAATCATTTCAGTCTCTTCTCATATTGTTTAGTAAGTCAATAATTTTAATTTTCGCTAAACGTTTCTTACCATTTATGTTGGATGAAATTGTTTATTTAGTAATCATATAATAAAAAAGTGTGAGAATATATGAGCCTTATGACTTATATATTCTCCATATATGACTAACTCCAATATAGAATGACTAATTCCAATTTAGACAATTTTAGTGAAAATCTAGTGGGAAAATGTATACCTTTATTCACAGTTCTATATTTTAATTTACTCACTGTATGTCTAGATATTATAAATTTTCCAGCTAGAAATATCAATAAAATTAATTATCTAAGATGTTGAAATTGTAGTTAGTCATTTTGTCTACTGAAAGGTTCATATACCAGTTTAATTGGTTGACTATTAAATTTATAATCACATTTTAATTGAAATATTTAGAATTTTTAAATGTTAATATTTTTAGCTACGTCAAATATATTTTTAGGACTATATCTATATATCTTAAATAAGGGATGTACGTATGTGAGTTTAATTTCTGTCTACTGCCATCACCACGTATGCCGATGACACATGTGTTATATATGTTCATAATGACTCAACTATTGCATCTCTTCAAAAATATATAAGAAGTGTGTCGAAACTGAAGCATTAAAATAAATTCCAATAAATCCCATAAAATCAATTTGGCCTTCGTCGAAAATCGATGACTTCCTGTCATACAATATCCTTTAATAATATCCCAATTATCCCTGTAGAGAAAATCCGATACCTTAGACTTCACTTGGACAAACTTCTAACTTGGAATACCAGACTAAAACGACAAGAAATCGCTCGAAGTTTCCGACTACTCCAACAAATACCAAACAAACGTAAAGTTAATTACAAAAGACTCGTATGCGTGATTACAATAAGACCTGTTTGGGATTACGGAGTTGAACTTTAGGGCTCCAATAAGTCATCGAATTCCTCTCGTATTCAATCCTTACAATCCAAAATCCACCGTAAAAAACCTAGTGCTCTTTACTTTATTACTAATAAAATAGTTTGTAAAGACCTTAAAGTTATTTATGTTTCCAATCTGGCTCAATCCAGATACCTATCCTTCCATAGTAAATTTCAGAACCATCCGAATCCTCTCGTTTCTTACTTTGCTTCCTCTTCAATTCTTGATTATTCTCCAAGGCGTCTGGAAATAAGTTGGTCTCGAGATCTCCTATTGTAAATACAATTTTTGAATTCTATCAGTGGGTAGTTTCTCAACAAGTGATTTCATGTTATTATGTTCCTGTGATCACATTTACTGAATGTATTTTTCATGGGTGATAAATATTCAGAACGCATTTTTTATTTATGCCAACGTTTCGACCCAAACGTCATCCTCAGGGCGTGGTTCGTGCACTCAAGGCTTTCATGTGCTCATACAAAGAGTATCAAAGTCTTCAGTGCTCGAATCAGTCCCTTAGGATGACCCACATGTTTTGATTGAAACTTTGGTATATATAAAAAATGTTTATAATGTCTGCGTCGTGAATATTTATCACCCATGATATGTAGAATAGTCATCCGGTATAGCCTAAAAGGCGAGGTAGGGAAGAACAAAAAACAAGAAAAAAATGTAGAATAGTCGACTAGCTTCCTTTAATGAATGGATTTTTTTTAAATGTAGTTGTAAATATCACAAAAAAATTTGTCTATGTTTCAATGTTAAAATTAAAGAGGTAGGAAAATGAAATTAATCGTCAAGAGTATTTCGCTTTATTTAAACATGCGGTATGAATCTCAAATCTGATTTTTATCGAAGCAAGATTGTAATTTTTTATTTATTTTATTTTATTGAGGAATAATACATTTTGCCTCAATTAAGGGCAATAAATATTAGATCTGTGTGAGACTCATTCACACCATGTATAGAATAAAAAAAGAGAAAAAATACAACACGAGAAAACAAAAAGAAAACTGAGTAAAACAAATGAAATAAACCTTGAGATAACTTTAAATAAAAATATAAAACACATTCATACTTATGATTGCAAAATAAATTCAAATTTATGTTTAGAAAATAAATTTCTCCATTTTATTAATCTAATGAAAAATTATATAGAGTGATTCAAGATGAGACGACATGTTCCAGATGTCACTCAAGAAGGATAATCTGAGAAATCTCGAAGTCTTACCACGTAAGGTGGTTGCTAGTCTGCAGCATGCATTGCTGGGTCCTATAACTCCATTCCTATTCAAGTCGTAGTTCACTCTGTTCTGATGTTGCAGCTCTTAACTGATGCTTAATATTAATAATATACTTTGATTCAAATATATAGAGGTACGATTATAACATTAGAGGTGCAATTTTCTTATTAAAATAATAATTTAATAATCAACAGTATTGGTTTATTTTTTTTCTATAATTAACATTTGTAATCGACCAAAAAAAAAAAAAAGTTTGCTGGTTTGTTTGGAATTTAAAGCGTAAATCCCTTGGGTCATCAACGCACGTGAGTCAGTTATTTTTGTTGTCTGTTGAATTAAACAACGCCATAGAAGAGAGGAAAGAGAATAAACAATTAAAAAGTAATAATAAATAGAATGATAAATGAAAAATACAAAAAAATAAAATTATTAATATTTCTATATGTTGGCTAAGTACCTATGTATTTTAAGTAAATTTATAACTGTTTTAATGTTTGATTCGTTATTGCTTAATACTACTATCATATCTGGTCCAAGACATATCTGTTTAAGCTTGAGGTATAATAAGATCATTCCTGGAAAATATGACTGATAGTGAGATTGCTATTGCAGTATTGACATTACGGTGGTGGCTGTTTAATAATGAAATGTAAATGAGTTAGAATTGTGTGTCATATTCCTAATCAAGTCACGGCGACCTCCTCTCTGCGGTTTGATGTGGTACAAGGCTTCACTGATTTTTTAACAACTTAACTTAATTTGCTAGACGGGCTTTTGTTACACATAAAGTGCGAAGTATCCGATATAGAAAAAAAAGTGATACTCCCCCTCAAAATTAGAGATTTTAAATTTCAAGTTATGTAGAAATCGAAAATCGAAAAAAATCCTGCTGTCAGCCGTATGCCATTCGCGTCTTTTCTTCGAGACCCGAGGAAGATCCTTGGAGCTTGCCATTACCTTGTATGCCTTTTCCTTTCAAGATGGTGGCCGAAGAACATCTGCCGCTATAGACTATAGCGTTTAAACTTATGTTCAGATTTTTATGATACTTGGCCAAAGCCTCCTCTTTGAGCTCTATAAATTATGTATGTTATATACTTTACCAAAAAGTACTTTCCTATCAAGATGGTGTCCGAAAAATCTGTACCGTATAGACTGTAGCTCCTAAACGAATGTACTATTTACTATGTAAATTCGCTAAAGTCTCCTCCTTTAAAGCTCTTTAAATTTATCCATTTTACATATTTAATTGAAAAGAAGCTGGAAAACATTACGAGGGGTAGTAAAATTAAATATTCAAATAACTCAAAAAGTATACAAATTTTCGTGGTTCTTATATTGGTTATTTAAATATTTACGAAATTAAAAAAAAATAGAAAAAGAATTGTTGAAATTGGACGAATATTGCATCATTTTTTTTTTTTTTTTTTTTTTTGTAAAATATTACATCACCTGAAGCAATTGAGATTGTTGTCTTTATTTTTTAGAAAATTGCTAATGATGAATGAAATATTTAGACCTATATTAGAAATCACCTTTTATTTATTAACCTTAATATGAAAAAGAAAGTGGTATTACATATGATATATAACTATTTGGAAATAATAAACGATGGTGTAATAATTTGCAGCCCTTATATATGTATATATATATATATATATATATATATATATATATATATATATATATATATATATATAATTATTTTTAATTGTGTGCTAATATTTTGTTTCAGGTCCTCAAAGCTGCATTTTCGTATTATAGCTTCCTGGCAGTGGTGGCTGCGGTAAATGCAGGAGGATGAAAAGTAATCTAAGTCTTACCGGATGGAGATTCTGCTTTTACTAGTTTAATAAGTTCTCTTATAGTTTGTAGTCTTAAGCCATGCTACTCTATTTATTATAAATATCCAATTTTCAGAAGAAAGTTTAATTTGCACGGAATAATCCTGTTGTATATTTAATCAATATTAGTTCACATTATTTCCAAATTAAAGTTCTTTTATTTGTTTTTGTTTTTAAAAGAATTAAAGTATTTTACGACTGCTTTTATCTCAAGAAGATATATATTAAAAAAATGTAATGTATTTATGTATTTACAACGTATCTCTACCATTGTTACATTCAGATTTGAGAATATCAATTTGCAATAAATAAAAATAATAAAAAAGTAAAATATAATAGAAAAAACAGCCTAGAGAAAAAAACTCTGTGTTATAAGCCTATCTATCCTAATAAGATTTTACTCTCATATTGATGTTATAAGAAGTTCGCTACTACAACGCAGCACTGAATGGACGGAACATATATCCTAGATTTATGGTATAGATTCCTAAAATACATTTCTGATGAAACTAAACTTTTAGTACCGTAAACCGGGGTTACTTTGAGACTAAGAGGTTACTATGTATTTGAGTTTATTTTGAATTTGAAATCACTAAACAATATCAAGAATATACGAAAGATGTTTCAATATAAAAAATGTTGTAGCCAGCTAGGTAATTTAATATTCAAAATAAACTCTAGTACATAGTAACCCCGTAGTCCCAAATAAACCCCGGTTTAATGTACCTTGTTTTGTGAATTTAGACTTTATTTATCGGTATATTAAAAAATAAAGTTCATAAAAATGAAATAACCTTTTATATAGGGTGTTCCGTAACCAAAAAAAAAAATTATCCGTAACTACTATATACTAATTATAGTCTGATTTTCCGCAGAAAAGCAAGAAATTTAATTTTATATTTATGTATCACGTTTTCTCTTGAATAGAACTCAATATCTAAAAAATACTTCATTAAGTCAATTAACCATTGTTTCATAGTAAATTATAAAAAAATTCCTTTTTTATCCTTCCTTTGTACTAGCAGAGTTTGTTTTCGTTAAAACCATTTAAAGGAGACTTTTAAGCATCTATACTACGCTGTTTTGTTTTTCATAAAATAATCTATTATTTCCATTTTTTTTATCACTATCCAACCTGACTGCCGGTACCCAATTTTTAGAAAAAAATATCTTAGTTTAATAAGCTCCAAGTACATATTAATTAGTAAATTATTGTTACAGAATAAGTTGAGATGCATCTTAAGTTTTATAAAAAAAAAAAAAAAATATTAATTTATTCCAGCAACTGGTGTGGTTAATTTTTAGAAATTGTAATTTACAATATTGAGCTATGAACGTAAATTTTATTGACGTCTCTAATCGTAATTAAAGCTATTGTATACTAGATGCATAATATTTTCCGTTCTCAAAGAGAAAATTCACTAATGTAGTTAGTAATTTATTTTGTGAACTCTTATTTACTTAATATTACCACCAAAGAGTGATAAACTTTTAAATAAGAAATGTACTTAACTTTATTTACTCAAAGATAATTCACTTAAACCTCCTTAACTCTACGTTGCTTATATAAAATTCTACGAAGCGCAGTTGCAACATAATATCTTGCACGCCCCGCCATTACCTCAGTGCAAATGGTACAATATTATATCTTAGCAACAGCCGTGAGACGGTGCACATTCAATTTTCTTGAGTAGAAAATTGCAGTTGGAACCTTTCCACCAAATAATTAACTCTTATTTTTCAGCAGACCCAAAACCTTACCTAGATGCTAAATAGCTCATTTATAAGTGATTTATAAGAAAAAATAAATTTTTTTTGTTGGAAATACCATGTCACATCTAGGCCATCTGCTGTAGCGAAATCAATACCTTTTCTTACAAGCATTAGATAATATTTCCGTGATTTTACTTTATTTTATTGCTTGATATTAGACTGCTTATTAAATGTAAAAATAACTTGGAATATAGATGATCAAAAATGTTATTATCTGCATATGGTACCGTAGAGATGGAAACAAAAATCTCATTACAGAAGGCCCTCATACATATTGCAGTAGATACCTGGACTAGATGGAACGCTCTAATTATAGAGCTAACTATATAGAACAGAGTTTAGAGTACTACAAAGGGCAGAGTATAGAGTACTATACCGGAAAATAGAATATTAAGAGTACTATTTTCAGTAATTTATACAGAACAACACAGAGGAGGGTTATACTCACACATGCTCGGAAGTCGAAGTCGGATATGCACCATCGGGCCATTGCATCATGCAGAACACACTGGACTGCCCGTTGCTGTACCTGAAAATTGATCTTATATTAATAATAATAATAATATATTAATGAGAATATATATTGATAATTTATGGACATTTAAACTGATGGCTTTTGTTATGAAAAATAAAATAATATTAAAACTTTTAGTCGCTATCAAAATAACTCAGTTATACTGAAACTTATAAAATATTTTTAGGGAAAAAAATTAAATCATTACAGAAATAGCTGTTTTTATATATCTTCTTCAATTATAAAAAAATAAATAAAAAAATTCAGAAATGCTAAAATTAAAAATTTATTGGGTCATCATCATACCAGAATCCCCCCCAGAATGTTAACACCAGTATGTGTAAACATTCACTCATTCATTTCCTCTTTTAAAAACTTTTATAATCTCAACCAAGACCAAAAAAGTTGTTGTTAAATTCACTATATTATTTTAGTTAAAATAAAAAAATTGGGAGAACCTTGAACATTTTGAAGAAAAATTGTTGTCATATAGGTTGAACAATATTCATATTTTACTACACCAAGTTTTTCTTAATAAGTTTGCTTAATAATTTTAAAACCAAATTTATTTTAAAACGTTTATGACTATTTCGACGCTTGACTGAAAATTCATGGCGGAAGTTGAAACAGTCTAGAGGTTAAAGAAAAAAAAAATGAACTTACAATACTAAAACTTTGTTACAATACTAAAACAAAGAGTTCTGAAAAAAAGTGTTAATGACTGTACTTGTTTTGATTTGAGAAAAATGAAATGATAAGATAGGAACAAAATCAATATGAATAATTATATCATCAAAATAAACACCAGTATTTGTAAAACAATTACTCACTCTTTTCCTATCATAACTACTTTTTTAACTGGCTAATATGCGTATGCACAAAGCCAAATATTTTTTTTTACATCACACAATTTTATTTGTTCAAATATTTACAGTAAAACTTGAACTTTTTGATGAAATTTTTTTATCATATGCTATGGAAATGATTTTTACTATGCAAACTTTTTAAAAAATAATTTTGCTAAATAATTTTAAAATCAAACTTATTTAAGAAAAGTTCCTGTTTTTTACAATTAGGTTTGGAATGTCATACAATTATGGATTATATTATGGATTCATACGATTCAGAAGAGGACACCCTCTTAACATGGAACTATACCTCAAAGGATTTAATTTAAATTCATATCGGTCGCCCTCAATTCCTGACCTCGCGATCAAAGCTCGAAGGATGTCAAAACCTAATCGTGCTCAAAGGACTCGTGCCAGGTCGGGCTGATTGCTTCGGAACACCCACACAGCTCCATTGCGCTACAATCAAGAATGTAACATGTTAAGCCATGTCCGATTTGACCATAATCTATTAATCTTATCTGGCAAAACAGAATTTATCGTTATGGCTCGTCAAGAAGATGACTTATTCAATGTTATTTGGCAATGCTTACTTCCAAATAACTACGATTGTATATATTTGTAGTATTATCAAGTTTACGTTTCGGGATATTTAATCCCATCTTTAGAACAACAATCCCAAAGATCTTGTGGATACATGGCTTTAAAAAAATGTGCTCCATCGTCAGTATCTAATTCATGTTATAATAATTCTAGGTATATAACATCTGGAGCAACATCTTGCTTTTAGACTAATTATTGGGTGTCTGCCTTATTCAACTTTTGTTTAGGGTTATGTGGGATATTTGAGCATTAAATTGATTGGTTATACTGACAAAAACACAAAAAAAAATTTCTTAAATTTTCCTAACCCTAATGGAGTCAATTATTACTTTAGGGCGAGTAGACCAAATATAAATGTTTCGATTAGATTCTGTTTCAAGGATCCCATATATATTACCTGTACAGATCTATAATGCCTTGCATCCCGATTTATTGTACATAATAATTAACAGTATTGTCTGTATTTTTTTTTTTTAAATTACTCTTGTATGTCAACTCCAGAAAAACTCTGTCAACAGTCCAGTAGTATGTCCGATGCGTTGATTCATTCCAACGGCCCTAATATTTCTTCTCTATAAAAAAATACCTAATTGAAATTTACTTCCATCCTCATTACTTTAAACAAAATAATTTTGAGGTAGGAATATTCCAAATTGTAATGGTGAAAATATGTATTAGAGACGTACTGCAATGTAATACGTGTTATTAGATTAGATTAGAATGTAATCTGTCGAGCATTTTTAATGAATAAATCTTAAATAAATGAGTATAGTTATTTTTAACCGTGCGTCTGAAAAATCAAAGCACCACACTTCTGAATGTTACTAAAGCTACCTTTTCTATTCTCTTTAGTATTTGAATAATGTTACAATCTTAAGAAACCTCACAAATTCGAGGTCCAAAGTAGATTCTTTCCTTGGCCTTTAACATCACTTAATTTGAGGAATTTCTTTCTCAAGTACTTGAAAGCTTCTCCTTTCCAGTCCATAGCTTTATCAAAGGAAGGGAGGAGAACAGTTTTTTAATCCGTTATAAATATTTATGAATATATTATAAATATAATACACACACACACACACACACATATATATATATATATATATATATATATATATATATATATATATATATTATATATATATATATATATATATATATATATATATATATGTTTTATTCTGTGTTGAACGTGAATTTTCATCACCACTCACTAAGCATTGTGAGTAGATAAAATTTGTTTTCCTTAAGTTCTAATTTGTTATTCATGGAATGTATTTCAGTGAAATGTATTTTATTTCTAATTATCTTCAACATACTTCTCGCTATGTGTATATATATACTGTATTTTACTTTCTCTTCTCCTAATCTTTACGCATAATCACTTAAATATCTTAGGGAACATATGTATATCATTATTTGTTTTTTTATATATATTTTTGTTTTAGTTTTTACAATTTCTTTCCCTACATATTAACAGTTATTATTATTTAGCTCTACAAGGCCCGGCGGTCGTACCAGAGGTGTATTTGTGACGAGAGGCGCATTACACTTCGTGACGAGTACAAGTCTAAAGCCAGGGCATATCGAAATGAGGTGCGCTTACAAAAGCGGAAGTCTTGGGACGAGTTCATTGTTGAGGAGTCATCAAAGAATCCTTGGGGTATTCCTTACAGAGTGGCCCTGGGTAAGCTGACACCACAACAAGTGATTGCTGCGCTCAAGTGCGGAGCTACCCATGCAACCACTCTGGAAGAGACATCGAAGATGTTTATAGCAGAAATCTACCCCAGAGATGATCCGTCCCAAGATAATGAAGAAGAGGAATTCATAAGGCGCACTACGGTATGTCCACCTGGTACGGACTTGTGCCCACCATGGGACATATGGGATCTCCGTGCTGCTGTGGACAGGCAAAGGACTGGTCGTGCTCCCGGTTTAGACGCAATCGATGCGGCTATGCTAAAGAATAGTATCCCCTATATCGAAGATACGTTGTTGGAGTTATTCAATGATTGCCTTGATAGGGGATACTTTCCACGAAATTGGAAAATTGCCGACATAAGGCTCCTTTACAAGGGAGGAGACAAGGACAAGCAATTAGCCAAGTCTTATAGGCCTATATGTCTCCTCCCTGTTATGAGCAAAGTGCTAGAGAACCTACTCCTGGTGAGCCTACGACCAGTCTTCTCAAGAGCGAGCCATCCACGGCAGTACGGATCCACTAAGGGTAGGGGAACCGTGGATGCCCTGCTAAGAGTGCGCAATGACGTCGAAGAGAAGGCGGAGAAGTATGTTATGCTCCTCCTGTTTGATATCTCCTCCGCCTTCGATAGTGTTTGGTGGCCTTGCGTACTCCAGCAGTTGCAGAAGTATGAAGCTCCCAGCAACTTGTACGAGCTATTACGGAGCTATCTTCAGGACCGAACTTTAAGAATCCGGGGTAACTTCTTCGAAGTTGAAGACTCCATGGAAAGAGGTTGTCCCCAGGGTTCTGTTCTAGGTCCTGCCCTATGGAATTTAGTCTTCAATGAGTTGTTGGGAGTACTAGAAGAGGAGCGGTTCCCCGCTACGGCTTATGTGGATGATCTGGCCGTTGTGGTAGCCTCGAACAGCAGAGCCCGACTGAAAGAAGAAGCTGAAAGGTGCGCCAACTTAGTAGAAGAGTGGTGCGAGAAGAAGAAATTCAAGATGGCCGCCGCTAAGACTCAAGCCATCCTCTTGAAAGGCACGACTGATAGGGCTCACCCTATAACAATGGTTATACAAGCATCAAGAATACGTCCAAGTGAGGTTGTCACCTATCTTGGGATTAGGATAGGAAGAAAGTTCAACGTGACACCTCACTTGGACTACTTGAGAAGTAGAGTAGCCCTAACCCTTAACGGACTCAGTCGTATTGGGGGCGCATTTTGGGGACTCAGGTACCCAGCAACTATGACCATTTATAAAGGTGTTATTGTGAGTATCCTGAGGTATGCGTCCCCTGCCTGGAGCCAAAATCTCTCGCACAGACAGAAATGTAGGTTGGCCACGATTCAGCGGATGGCTCTGCTTCGAGTATCCAGATCATTCAGGACGGTGTCTCATGAGGCTGTGCAGGTCTTGGTAGGAGGAATACCTCTCGACCTCCTGCTGAGAGAAGACTACTACCGTTATAAGATTAGGAGAGAATGCTTAGCGGCTCTACCGGATTACCTCCGAGTGAGAATAAGAGATGATCCAAGAAACTGGAAGAAGATTCTCCGGGAGGATACAGTAGAGGACTGGAACCGACGGTGGTTGACGACTCCCAAAGGAGCTACTCTAAGGAAGTACTTCCCCACCGTCAGTTCGCGACTAGAAGCGACTTGGGTCCTCCCGGACTACTGGATTTCACAGATTCTCACGGGGCATGGGGGTTTCCGAGCAAAGCTCGTTCAGTATGGTATAAATATCGATCCCCTATGCCCAAGTTGTGGGGTACCGGAGACCGCTGAACATGTTGTGCTTACCTGTACGGTCTATGAGTCACTGAGGGCGAAACTGTTGAGAGAAACAGGTCTCTTTGTCCTAACAGAGAGAGAT